ATAGCTATTTTTGAGTGTATAATTCATTGATGTTAATTATATTCACAGTGCTGTTCGACCATCAGCAGCCTGTTTCCAAAAGTTTTCCATCACCCCAAACAGAAACTCTATACACATTATAACAGCAAGTCCTCACTTGTAAAGCAACCTTTACTATTTTTGATTCCATGAATTTGCCTGGTGTAGATATTTCATCTAAGTGGAATTACATATGTCCTTTTATGTCTGCCTTATTTTGCTTAGCAGCATATTTTCTTTTCTTTCTTTCTTATTTTTTTTGGAGAGGTTTTTGCCATAGGGTGCGTGCACTCACCAGAAAGACAGAGAGCAGCAGAGAGACAGAAAGCGAGAAATCACCCCCCAGGGGGGATGGTCACACCACTATCCCTTCCCCTCCTTTCTCCTCTCGGGATCTTGGGCACGCACACACACACGGCCAGCGTGAGTTTAAGCCACTGGGTCCGGGACTCGAACCACGGTCGACTACGTGGGAGTTCAGTGACATAGCCATTACACTAATTGCTGGTTCCAGCAGCATATTTTCCAGGTTCATCCATGTAGTATATATCAGAACTAAATTCCTTTTTATGGCTAAATAGCAATAATATTTCATTGTGTATATCTTTGTAACTTTTGAGGAATACATTGTAGAAATGCTGATGATGAAATGAGTATAAGCTTTAGGATCAGTTCAATCCATGGTTCCAGCACATTCTATTTGTGTAGCATTGCTTGCTTAGAAAAGTCACCTCACAGGGCCAGCAGATGGTGTGGTGGTTTAGGGTGCTGGCCCACATGGCTGATCTTGGTTCAAGTCCTGGACCTGGTGGCTTGCTTTCTCACCACCCCCACAACCCCCATCCCTCTCCGGTAAAATTAAAATAAATAAATAAAGTTAAATAAAATAATTCAAAAAAGAAAAAAAGTCACTTCACATTTCTTTTATTTTTCTTAAAGAATTATTTATTTAGGGACCAGCAGATGACATAATGTTTACATTGCTGGACTCCCACGTAGTCAGCCATGGTTCAAATCCCAGACCCAGTGGCTTAAAACTCACACCAGGCACATGTGCATGCGTGCCTGGAATCCCAAAAGCAGATGGAGAAAAAGGAATTGTGGCATGACTATCCCCCGTGGGGTATGATTTCTCGCTTTGTCTTTCTCTCTCTCTGTCTCTCTGGTGAGCACATGCACCCTACAGCAAAAACTTGCCATTACAAAATATTTTTAATTTATCATTGTTATTATTTATTTTTTTAAAATTTGCCACAGGGCACACACGCTCGCCAGAGAAAGAGAGAGTGCAAGAAAGCAAGCCACCAGCTCCCAGACTGGAACCGCGCTTGGTCATATGTGAGTCCAGTATCTTCACTGCTGGCTCCATCACTTCGTATTTCTGAGCCTCAGTTTACTTAAAATGGGAGTACGTGTTCATCAGTGTATTTTTTCTTTTTTAAAAATAATTATTTAACTTTATTTATTATTATCATTGTTATTTTCCAGTTTGATCAGAGAGAGAAAGAGAGAGAGGAAGTGAGAAAGCAAGCCACCAGGTCCGAGACTTGAACCGTGGTCAACCATGTGGGAGTCTAGCACCCTTAACCACCATGCCACTTGCTGGCCCCATCATCAGTGTATTAACTAAACTAACTCATACAAATTTCTTAGCAAAATGCTACATCTAGGCCTTTTGAGCCACTCTTCCTCAGTCCTCTCAGGCCTGCTCCTGCCTCTCAGGAAGGTACTTTTATTTTTACTTAGTAAACTTCCTTTTCCTTTCACTTAGATAACAAAAATGCTAGGCCTATAATAGGGGCCTAGTGACTATTCTAATTTCCTACAGACTAGCAGAAAAGAAAAGGTCATAATAGATTATGAATTTCTGTAGCCAGCGTTAATCAACAGTTATCTGTCTGGTTTTACCCTGCAGCCTCCCGTGCTGTCCAACACTGGGCCTGCTGGCCAAAGTACAGTGTGACCAGAGCACTGGAGATGTGGCACCTGCCTAGGGGAAACTGAACCTTTAATTGCAGTTCATTTAAATCTAAAAGGCCACATTCTGCTAGTGTTTACCGAACTGCACAGCAGGGGGCCAGACTCCTTGAACAGTGTGGTCTTCTGTGTGGGTTTCATAATGGGATCACTTGGGGAATTTAAAAATAAACCCAGAGCAATGGAACTGTTAATCTCTGGCCCAGAATAGGTGTGTTGGAAACGCTCCCCAGGTGATTCCGAGGAAATGTTGAGACCCACTGCTCTAGTGACCCCCTTACCGCCTCCCTCTCCTGGCAGTTAGCACACTCATTTCAAGAAAACAGTAGTGTTTTGGGTCTCTTAAGCTGATATTTTATAGATTCTTTCCAATAACTTTCTCCTTTATATTTATCTGTACCTTTGCATATTATACTGCTTCTCTTCTCTCAAAATCTTTGTTGCCTATAAAATTGAGAGTGGCTAAGACGACATACAGTATTATTTATGGAGTCATAACTGTATATTTAAAGTATAAAAGCAGGTGGGAAGAATACTTACTTCAGGGTAACAGAGAGGGAGGGCCACAGGTATAGAAAGATCCAAAATTAATGTTTTGTTCATTTTTTAAAGAATTATTTTATTTAACTTTATTTATTTATGTATGTCCAGAGAGGAACAGAGAGAGAGAGAGAGAGAGAAAGTGAGAAAGCAAGTCAAGCCACCAGGTCTGGGGACTTGAACCATAATCGACCATGTGGGAGTCCAGCGCCCTTAACCACCACGCCACCTGCTGGCCCCTGTTTCATTAATTTTTAAAATCTTTAACATTTTTACTGCTTTTAGAACCAGCAGATGGTGTGATGGTTACTTCACTAGATTCCCAGGTTTGAGTCCGTAGTTGACCACGGTTTGAGTCTGGACCCAGGGCTTAAAACTCAATGCTGGGCATGTGTGTACGCACGCATATGCACATGTCCAAGATCCTGAGAGGAGAATGGAGAAGGGACTGTACTGTGGCCATCCCCCCAGGGGTTGACGTCTTGCTCTGTCTGTTTCTCTCCATTGCTTCAGCAAGCGCATGTGCCATATAGTAAAAATCTCTCAAAAAATATTTTTTACTGCTTTTAATTGTACAAAAACAGCTAACTATGGCGTAACTCTTTTGGTCTAGGACTAGTCTGTTCCTATACCCAGCTGTTCGAAATTTCTTAAAGATGTGTGTGCTCATCCCTCTACAATATCATTTATTTCCTCTTTTTTTAAAAGAGTTATTTTTGCTATAGGGCATGTGCGTTTGCCAAAGAGACAGAGAGACAGAAAGAGAGAAATCCCCCTCCCCCCCGGGGGAATGGCCACACTGCAGTCTTTTCTCCAGTCTCCTGCATGTGCCCAGCCTGAGTTTTAAATCTCCAGGTCTAGGGGTCCAGTGATATAACCATTATGCCATCTGCTGGTCGCATCTATGACTATTTTAAAAATGATATGGGGGTCAGCTGGAGGTGTGGTGGTGAAGGCACTCAATTCCCACATGATTGGCCGTGGTTTGAGTCCCGGACCTGGTGGCTTGCTTTCTCACTTTTCCTCTCTCTGTCTGTCTCTTTCTGATGAGTGCATGTATAGCATATGTCCTATAGCAAATTAAAAAATAATTAATAATAAATAAAAATTTAAAAAATGGTTCCAGGTCTAAAGAAGGTTAAGATCAATGGGTAAGTCTCATTTCTAACCTTGGAGTTTGTGCATATGTTTAGGAGTCCTTATTCTGAAGTTTGCTTCTACTCCTAGTTTCTCTTTTAATGGGTGAAAGTGACATTTCATCTTTTAAACACTTGTGGATTTCTAAGTTGCATTTAAAATATCTAGATTACTCATTGCATCTGAGCTCTGTCAGGGTAAACAAGTGGATTAAAAGATAGCAACAGATTTCTCAAGACTTTTTTTTTTTGGAGAGGTTTTGGCTATAGGGCGCCTGCGCTCGCCAGACAGAGAGAGACATAGAGACAGAAAGTGAGAAATCACCCCCCAGGGGGGATGGTCATGCCGCAATCCCTTCTCTTCCATTCTCCTCTCGGGATCTTGGGCACGCATGCACACGCGCCCGGCGTGAGTTTTAAGCCACTGGGTCTAGGACACGAACTGCAGTCGACTACGTGGGAGTCCAGTGACATAGCCATTACGCCAACTGCTGGTTCCCAAGACTTCACTGTTTTTAAAAAAGCATCCTAGCGGCCAGGCCGGGATGTAGCCCTGATGCAGCTTGACCTGTGCTGGAATCCGAGTACACATGTGAACCACACTCTGGTCAGGTGGCTGACATGAGGGTAGCTGGTGGAGGCGGGGTGGGCTGCATTTTAAGAACCCTATTGGAAGTACCTGTCTCTGAAAGAAATAAATCCATACTTTTTTTTTTTTTTTTAAGCATCTTTCATGTCAAGCAAGTTTTAATGTAAAAACATATCTTTCTTGATGGGACGTTTAAAAGTTCACTTATAACTCCAATGAATTTTGAAGGATATAAAAAATAACTTTTAAGTAATTTGTAGAAAAAGAAGGAAGAAATGGAACTACCGAATTGCTACTCCCCATGCTTCCTATTTACTAACCAGTGGTGTGCCTTGTGCATTAAGTTGGAAGGAACTTTTTAAACCCAGGATCATTTTTCAGTAAGAGTGTCAGAGAGGATCTATACCACCTTTGTCTTAAGAAACAGGAAGCTGATAAGTTACCTGGCCTCGCTACCATTAAAACAATCCCTCTGTAGGATATTTGAACCCTGGGCGATGTCTCACAAGATCTGAGCACAGAAGTGGCTCCTCTTTCTAGGCGTTCAAAAAAGCACTGAGTGAAGGATCTGTTAAATATGTGGGCACTCTCGGTTACGAAGCGGCTGCAAAATGGTTAGAATAACGGGGTACCCATATTTACACCAGCGGCGGAGGGTTTTCAGATATCTTGGTAAAGAACTGAGAGCCTCAGGTCCCAGAGGATCCGGGCGAGGCCAGTGTTTTGCGGGAATGACAAACCTGCGTAGACCAGAAAGGTGATGAGGGCCGACAGCAGGTGGATGCGGAGCTTGGTCCGGATCTCCTGGAAGTGCAGCAGAGCGCTGTGGAAGATAAAGGAGCAGACGGCCTCTGCGATGACTGCTTTGGGCAGGTCGACGTGGATGGGATTCTTGCAAACGAAGCTCCTCTCGCTGACGTGGTACTTGGTCAGCCCCAGGCTCCACAGGGCACCTATGCAGTACCTGCTGCCCAGGGCGCTCAGCAGCTGAGCCAGCAGCCTCATCGCACCCATCTCCGGGGGCATGCCCCCCAGAAGCATCTGCATCATCACGCTGCACGGGTTGCTGGAAGTGCCCACCAGGGTCAGGCCGTGCACCAACGAGAAGAAGTAGATGAGCGTCAGCGTCCAGGTCGGGTGCGCGGGGTCCTGCTCGCTCAGCAGTTGCAGCTCGTGGGTGCAGCAGCAGAGCTGTAAGGTGGCCAGGAACTCCAGGACGAAGGCGTGGAGCACAGGCCTGTGCAGCTGCTGCCGGGCGACCACGCGGGCCAGTCCCACAAGCAGCACGATGGACAGCATCAGCGCCAGCGAGGTGCAGGTGTCCCGCACCTCGGGCCAGAGCCCCTGCAGCGCCGACATGGCTCGGTCGCAGCGGGACCAGGCTGCGGCTCGGGCTCGGCCGGCGGCGGGGTGAGGGCCGGAGTCCGGGGGCTGGAGTCCGGAGTCCGGAGTCCGCAGCCCCGCCCTCTGCACGCCCCTCGGGGCGGGCGGAGTCGGAGCGGCCGCAGGCCGGGGGATCAGCGCAGGAGGACTCCTCCCTCCCCCCTCCCCGGCGCGGCGCTGGGCGTGGGCACCCGACCGGGGAGGAGGGCGGCGAGGAGAGCCCTGGGAGGGCACCGGCGGGGCCAACGGTC